ATCTGTCAAAAAGAATTGTAGGAAAAACACACCAAAAACAGAATTTAAAAAACATTTAAGTAACACCTATTCTCTGGTTTTACCTGTCTAACCTAACAAAAACCATTCATTTTTATTTAAAGTGATTACTATGGATAGCATTTTGGTATATACCCTCCTAGACTTGTCTGTGTCCATTCAGAGAAGGGTACATATTGGACAAAACTATGTTCAGATTATTACATACTAACCTGCTTTTAGCATGCCCAAAAGAACTTCTTGGTATTTTTCAGCTTTCTCAATAAGTTCCTTTATAGATTCTGGATTAACATGCTTTAACTATTATTTGAGGGATTATTTATTAGCAACAATAACTTAGCATTTATTGAACACCTAATTTGTGCTCTAGTGCTATTCTAACTCTTTTTATATTAAGTAATACTAATATGTAAGGCCTTCACAGTTTAATTATGGTCTCTTTGGAAAAATGTTGCCTATCTCTGAAGATAGATTGCAAAGCATGGCAGGCCCTAAAAATGGATCCAGAGCCATTTGACTATCACATACCACTGCAGACAGCTGCTGTCCCCTCTGCTTCTCAGAACTCATTTGTTCATCATTCAGCAAACGTTTGAGTATTACCATGTGCCAAGGATTATGCTAGGCTCCACTATTAGTTGTTCCGGAACTTAATGCTTCTTTGGCAGTATTCACAAATGCCTGCTTAACTGGTAGTAAGATGTTATCTTTAAACCATCCATGCCCTTAACTTCTTGGAAAACAACCAGATTGAGAAATACAAAAGAGTACTTGAGCATTAAGGAAAGTATTTCAATATCTCATATACTATGCTGCACAAGTGCAAGTCTATTAGCTTAATAAAATTAATTCATTTATTGAATCGGTACCACTCCAATCCCAGCAACTCTATGGGCCTCAGTGCTTGCAGCATAACACTAGTCTCCTCATAAATAACTAAGGAGCTGAAGTGAACACCTTATGTTCAGAAAAGAAGTCACTCCTTTTTTTGTTTTTCTTCCTTTGAGCTATTATTAAACAAGCTCTATATTCCTGAGAAGTTTGTTCTTATGGAAGCATGTTTCCCACCATCTCCCATTCTACTAGTAGTTTCAGAAGTGTGTGTGTGTATACACACACACACACACACACACACACACACACACACACAGGTGTGTGTATATATATGGCATTTATATATCTTGTGTATCACGATAAAGTTGCGAATTAAAATTTTTAAGGTAGTAAGCCTAAATATTATCTTAGTGTTTTAACTTAAATTTTTTTTGATCAAACTAATATACAGACATATTTAGGTAAATATTACCACAAAGCTTATAATGAAGATGAACTTTCTTCTGCTTTTATTTCTCTTCATCTCTTTGCCCCCTCACCAAGTAACATATCTATTTTTAATACATTTCATTTTTAATAAACCTTTTTTTCACATGATTTAATACTTGCATCTTTAAAATTGTCCAAGAATCATAAAACCCCTATAAATTCTGTTTCTCACATAGCCAAAAGCGTAAAGTAGCAGACAATGTATGGCATTAGTATCATGATTATCCAAATCTGAACATTCAGTAGTATGATGCTATACTAATATTTTCCCCCATTAAGAATCTGAATCAAAGTCTACAGAATATCTAGTATCTTGTTTGAATCCACTGAATGAGGAGGATTAGAATTCTTTAAATTATTGAAAGCAAACTCAAGTAGGAAACCTTAGCTTTTATGAGGTTCATGAATGTAATTTAGGGGTTTGTAGACTCAAAATTATAGGTTAAGATTTTTATGGGAATTTCTCAGGGCAGGTGAGTCCGTAGATTTCCAAAGAAGTCTGTCACGGCTAAACAGTGATTGTAACTTCAGTACAGACACTGGAGGGTGTCTTTAAGCTGTGAGTCTCATTATACTTTGGCTCATAAACCTGCTTAAAATCTGAGGAAAGCTGTAAATTTTCAAATTTGGGTACAATTTTTGAGGTTCTTGGATCCTCCAAAACCTGTTCTTAGAATTCTGGGACTTGCTATGTAGGATTCATAAACCACTGCCATTAAGGAAACACGTTCTGACTCATATTTGGCCTTAGTCTCATTATTTTAGAGACTTACAGTTTCATTTACACATATTCTGCACCTTCAGACTATTACTCTATGTTTCTGACATTTCTCTATTTCAAATTTTTATCTCACATATTAGAGGCCCTGTGCACGAGTTCGTGCACAAGTGGGGTACCTCAGCCTGGCCTGCGGGATCAGGTTGAAACCAGCTCTCTGACATCCCCCAATGGGTCCCAGATTGTGAGAGGGTCCAGGCCAGGTGGAGGGATCCTACCGGTGTATGATTGGGGCCTGGGAGGGACCGCGGGAGCGCTCCAGGGCATGTCTGGCCCATTTCGCTCAATCCCAATCAGCTGGACCCCAGCAGCAAGCTAACCTACCGGTCATAGCATCTGCCCCCCTAGTGGTCAGTGCATGTCATAGCTACTGGTCGACTGGTTGACTGTCTGCCCGCTCGTGGTCAGTGCACGTCTTAGTGAGTGGTTGAGCGACCTCAACATATCATTAGCATATTACGCTTTGATTAGTTGAATGGCTGACAGAACACTTAGCATATTAGGCTTTTATTATATAGGATATCACCTTAGGTAATATATATCTTACTATTACTTCTTTACCTTTTATACCCTATTGGGACAATTTTAAAAGCTTTTATTTCCTATGTTTACTGCCTTTTTTTTTTTTTTTTTTTTTAAAGTCTGTGGAGCATTTATCTTAGGTTATAGTCTTAAAAAAGAATAATTAGTAGATACATATGTTAAGGGAAATTTTTTTCCAAATAGCCAAGATCTGAAACAGCCCGTGTCCATTAGTAGATGAGTGGATAAAAAAGATGAGTGGGCCAAAACCGGTTTGGCTCAGTGGATAGAGCATTGGCCTGTGGACTGAAAGGTCCCAAGTTCGATTCCAGTCAAGGGCATGTACCTTGGTTGCAGGCACATCCCCAGTAGGGGGTGTGCAAGAGGCAGCAGGTCGGTGATTCTCTCTCATTGATGTTTCTAGCTCTCTATTCCTTCTCTCTTCCTCTCTGTAAAAACTCAATAAAATATATTAAATTTAAAAAAAAGAAGAAAAAAAAAGATGAGTGGTACATTTATATACAATGGAATATTACTGGCCGTAAAAAAAATCACACCAAACCTTGAAATCTTACCTTTTGTGACAGCATGAATGAACTTGGAGATCATTATGTTATGTGAAATAAGCTTCTCAGAGAAAGACAAATATCACTTATATGTAGAATCTAATGAACAAAATAAACTAACAACCAAAGTGAGGACAGACTCCTGGATACAGAGAACAGACTGACAGGGACTGATGAAAAAAGATGAAGGGATTAAGCAAAAAAGCATACATTTGTAGCACATAGACTCAGACAACAGTATGGCGATAGCCAGAAGAAAAGGGGGGTCTGGGCTGGGTGGAGGTGGGCAAAGGAGGGGAAAATGGGGACAAAACCAGACAATATTAGTGCACCAGGCAGTGTTCAGATGATGTCTTATTTAGTTGTAAAATTGAAACTGTATGGTGTTGTGAACCAGTCATCCTAATAAATTGAATTAAAAATAAAATGTAAAATTGGAGGAAAAAAAGGCAATATAAAGAACAATTACTGGATAAATATGTTAAGGGAGATTTTCCCCTCAAATTATATTATGAATTTTCCACATAAACATTCCTGGTAAAAAAAGTTACTGATGTATGTGGCAAGAAAAGTTGCTTCTAATTTTACTTTTCTTTTGGGGAGATGAGTTGATTTTTCTCTAAGAAGCATCATTTCTTGATAATTAGTTTCTGGCTCTTTTATGGTTTAACTAGATGCCCGGTGCATGAATTTCTTGCATGGGTAGGGTCCTTAGGCCTGGCCGGTGATCAGGGCTGATCGGGGCTTTCGGGCTGCCGACTGGGGCCTTCCTTCTGGCTGCTGGCTGAAGCCTTCCTTCCCCAGCTGCTGGTTGCCAGCTGGGCCTTCCTTTGTTCCGCGCCACCCCCTAGTAGTCAGCTCATGTCATAGTGAGTGATCGAACTGCTCTTACCATCAACTTCTGAGGGGACACTGCATATTAGCCTTTTATACATATAGATCTTTGGTGCCTTTTTCATTTTGGAAATATTTTGTTTCTGATTCTTAAATTTCAAATATTAGACTATAAGGACCCATTTTATGTGGTTTTTTTTTTTTTTTTTTTTTAAATATATTTTATTGATTTTGTACAGAGAGGAAGGGAGAGAGATAGAGAGTTAGAAACATCAATGAGAGAGAGTCATCGATCAGCTGCCTCCTGCACACCCCCTACTGGAGATGTGCCCGCAACCAAGGTACGTGCCCTTGACCGGAATCGAACCCGGGTCCCGTCAGTCCCCAAGCCGACGCTCTATCCATTGAGCCAAACCGGTCCCGGCCCATTTTATGTGTTTTGACATCAGCTGGTTTTAGCACTACTAAATGACAGATTTTTAACTTTTTCTGCAGAGTTCATGTTAATCTTTAAGCTACATAAAATTTGTTTCAATTATTACTATTTTTTCTGCACTGATACTTTTGTTACTTGGTTGTTTTTTATTAACTCTTCCACTAATATATACTATTCAAATTGAACCCAAGAGATTCCATAAATCAAAATTATTATCCTTATTAGGGTATATTTTTTAACCCTTTGGTATTTTTAGACTCTCATGGTTCTTCTTTGTAGCACTCCCATTCTATTTTGATTCTGTTCTCTAGTTAGTAACAGTTTGTTTACTTCTTAAAATATTAAAATGTTGTACATTTGAGTTTTAGAAAAATTGAAATTTTTTGTCTTTGTGCATAATATTCTTTAAAGAGAAATATGTTCATTTGACTTCAAAGATTTTTAAAATATTTTTTTCAAAAACAACTATTTAATTAAATATCAGATTATACAAATATAAAAATAGCATAATTTTGACTTTCAGTGCAATGCGTGTTTTACTATCTAAATTACCAAGACCATGGATTGTGGATGAGAAAAAAGATGATGGTTATACTGCCTTGCATCTGGCTGCTCTTAATAATCACGTGGAAGTGGCTGAATTGTTGGTACATCAGGTAAGAAAAGCAATTTAATAATTTTTAACAGTTTTAGACCATTGCCATTCATTTATTTGTTTATCAGCTACCTATTAGTATGCTACAGTAAAATCCCATGATGATGCACATTCAGAAATAGTACACATTAGTCTACTAACACTGATTTTTAAAGGGAGGCAAGGGTATGTTTGTGTGTCCCTCAGTCCCCAGTGTTCCCTCTGCACAGTCTTCCTGGATTGATCCAATGAAATGAGCAAAACTACAAGGGATTTTCCAGAACCACTGCTGCTGTTCTGGAAGTGTCATTTAGCCTCAGGACCAAGAACCATCATATTGATATCTAAGCTGATTTGGCCAGTTGCCAGCAGGTGACACCAGGCTGAAGCCAGGATCTGAGGATTCAATTCATGATTGTTGCTGGACCTGTGGAATGTGTGGCTGTTAGCAGCAGACACTCACTTTAGTTATTCATTCATTTCCAAAATATGACTGATTTTTTGGGGACCTATTTATTATAGTGTATAATTTATTTTAGTATATTTAGCAAAATATTACAAATGCTTCAGTCAAGTATATGCCATATAGAAGCACTGAAGTTATTAAAAAAATTGTCTATGATCCCTGACTTCAAGGAGTCAAGTAGAAAAATTTAGGAGATAATACATTATGTGCAATTAAACCCTAGATTATAAGGTAGATTCTCCATAAACTAGACAAGTTTAGATAAACTACACAAGTTTAGATAAAGAAATAGTTCAAAAGTTAAACTACCTTTCCCCTGCCATTTTAAGCCTTTATTTTTAAAATTAATTCTTTTAAAAGTATTGTTAATTATAATGTTCTTTTTTATCCTAATCCAAATGGCAGACCTTAAGCCAATAACACACTGTCTTTGTTATTGTTGCTTTATAGTAAGACTTAACATCAGTTAGAGTAAGTCCTCTGACTTTGTTCTTTCTCAGAATTGCTTTAATATTCTGGATCTTTTGAATGTCCATATGTATTTTAGAATCAGATTATTAAATTCTCTTAAAAAGTCTTTCTGAGAGTTTGATTGCTCTCAGACGTATTAGTTTTATCTTTAAGTTTTGATGCTATTGTAAATTGTATTTTTTTTTTTTAATTTCAGAAAAAGGAAGTGAGAGGAATAGAAACATTAATGATGAGAGAGAATCATTAATTGGCTGCTTCCTATACATTCCAAACTGGGGATTGAGCCTGAAACCTAGGCATGTGCCCTGACCAGGAATTGAACTGTGACCTCCTGGCTCATGGGTCAATGCTCAACCACTGAGCCACACTGGCTGGCCATAAATTACATTGTTTTAAAACTTCAATTTTGTATATTGTTAGTTTATAGAAATACAATTATTTTTTGTATATTGGTCATATATCCTATGACATTGCTTAAATTACTATTGGTCATTAGGGAGATAAATTATAATTAATTGAGATACTACTAATTACCAACTACAATGAATAAAATTAAAAAGGCCAGAAATGCCAAGTGTTGATTAGGAGTTGGCACAATTAGAATACACAAACATTGGTGGTGATTTTCAAACTACCATTTTAAAAAAACAGTTTGGCAGTTTCTTATAAGATTAAACATATTTTACTATACAACTAGCAATTTTACTTCGGGGTACATATCCAAGAGAACTAAGGACACATTTCCACACAAATATTTGTAGCAGCTTTATTTATAATAGTTTCAAAGTGGAAGCAAGCCACATGTTCATCAGCTGGTGCCAGGATAAACAAATTATGGTACATCCATACAGTGCATACTTACTACTTTGGAAAATCTAAATGATGGAAAAGTTCAGGAAATTTGAAAAGGAAATTCCTCACTTTCTGCATTATATAAGAACTAGAGGTCCAGTGCACGAAATTTATGCACAGGGAGAGGTGTGTCCCTCAGCCCAGCCTGCACCCTCTCCAATCTGGGACCCCTTTAGGGAGTCTGACTGCCTGTTTAGGGTCAGACATCCCTCTCACAATCCAGGACTGCTAGCTCCCAACTGCTCGCCTGCCTGCCTTCCTGATTGCCCCTAACTGCTTCTGCCTGCCAGCTTGATCACCCCATACCACTCCCTTGCCAGCCTGATTGATGCCTAACTGCTCCCCTACCAGTCTGTTTGCCCCTAACTGCCCTCCCCTGCAGGCCTGGTCACCCCTAACTGCCTTCCCCTGCAGGCTTGATCACCCACAACTGCCCTCCTTTGCAGGCCTGTTCCCTCCCAACTGCCCTACCCTGCTGGTCATCTTGTGGCGGTCATCTTGTATCCACCATCTTGGACGTGGGGACAGCCAACTTATGTCTTGGAGTGATGGTCAATTTGCATATTACTTTTTTTTTTTTATTAGATCAGATAGTCATAAGAAAACTGCTGAGATTAGGTACCTCAAGATTTCACTCAAAAAACATCTAAATATATAAAAGCCTAAGTGACCTTTATGATCTAATGACCAGAACGACCAGACGACTGGCCAGTAGCTATGACACACACTGACCCAGACCTTGCTTCTGGGGCCCTGACAGCCCCAAATCTTTTTCACTTGCACCCTGGACCTAGACAGGAGGGAGGAAGGAGCCCGATTCCTCACAAAATCAGCTATTGTTTACTTGCTGCTGAGGCCAACCTCCGGTGGTCCCTCCCCCCAGCAGGCCAGCCCTCCTGATCTGCCCAAATTGATGGCCAGGCTAAGGGACCCACCCGTGCACTAATTTGTGCGCTGGGCCTCTAGTAAATAATAAAAACAAACCAGAAATTCCATCTTCTAGAAAATGTCATAGCATTACTGGAGTTTTAGCTGTACTTGATGCTTCAAGCAAGGGCACAGTTGGGTATCAGAGTGCATGAATGGTTCTAATACAAACAGGATGATACAGTTTAATCTTTTGAACCTTTTCTTAATTTCCTATTTTTTATTATGCCAGACATCGTTGCGAGGCAGTTTTGCATGTTACTTTTTTTTCCTGTTAATCTTCACACAACGATATTTTCCCATTGTTTTTCAGTCCCAGTTGTTAGATTTTAACTATAAAAACTTTGTTGTTGTTTTTCAGGGTAATGCAAACCTGGATATCCAGAATGTGAACCAACAAACGGCCCTCCATCTTGCTGTTGAACGACAGCACACCCAGATTGTTAGGGTAAAGTTTTTACTAACATGAATCTTAGTTTGCAGTTGTAGTTTAACCAGACGGATTTCTAGAATGTCTTGGAAATTTAAGTAACACATTGTTAGATTTCTCAGAAGACAGAATTATATGTAAAAATTATGATTTTAGACTATAGCAGTTTAATTTATAGTAGGGAATATTTTAAAACTCTGATATTTAAAGTTTTTATAATTTTGTTGCCAGATTTGTGAATTCCCAGAATATTAAATGAAAGAATTTCAAAGTAGCATATAAATTAGTTTTTAAAAAGTACATTCCCTCTTAATTTATATAATTGAGACTGAATTATAATTTAAAACTTTGGATATTTGCTACATTGATTCCAATTAAATTTTTTAATTTTATTAACCTGGTTATTCTAGACAAAATATTTGAAAGGTTATCTTTAAAAAATACCTTTTGGTAGAGCAGTGATTCTTGTATATATACATCTATCTATCTATCTATCTATCTATCTATCTATCTATCTATCTATCTATAATTGATTTTTTTAGAGAGAGGAAGGGAGAGGAATAGAAGAGTTAGAAACATCGATGTGAGAGAAACATCAATCAGCTGCCTCCTGCACACCCCCTACTTGGTACATGCCCTTGACCGGAATCAAACCTGGGACCCTTCAGTCCGCAGGCTGAGGCTCTATCCACTGAGCAAAACCGGTCAGGGTAGAGCAGTGATTCTTAAAGTGTGGAGGCTGAACCAGCAGCATCAGCGTTATTACCTGTGACCTTAGTAAAAAAGCAAATTTTTGGACCCCACCTCATACCAACTAAATCAGAACTTCCAGGGATGGGAACTGGCAGGAATCTGATTTAATAAGCCTCACAGGTCATTCTGATACATATTCGAATTTGAGAAACACTGCTCTAGAATTAAATTGTATGTGATCTTAAAAAAGAACAAAGTAAAAATAAATTAAAAACAATTTGCCAAGCCCTAGCCGGTTTGGCTCAGTGTATAGAGTTTTTTTGTTTTCTTTAATTCAATACCCATAATTTTCACTATTTGTAAGGAGCTGCAGGGTTATGAGTAGTAGCAAGCAAATGCATAAGAATTATTAGTGGCAGCCCCTCCAGGCGGGTTCTCTCATTCTTACATTAGCTGTATTGTAATTTCTTGTGGGTGGGGATACTTTAGCAAAATGAGATGTCTTTCTCTTTTAGCTTTTGGTCCGAGCAGGTGCCAAATTAGATATTCAGGATAAGGATGGGGACACTCCTTTGCATGAAGCTCTGAGGCATCACACCTTGTCTCAGCTACGTCAGCTCCAGGATATGCAAGATGTGGGGAAGGTTGATGCTGCCTGGGAGCCGTCCAAAAACACAGTGAGTAAAGATAATCTTTAATTCAGTACCACTGAAAGTCATTTTCCCAATGACTACTGATATCAAACATCTTTTCTTTGTTTTTTTTGTCACCCACATCTGTTTGATGAATGTTTATTCATACCATTTGTTCATTATTTTGTTGAGCTGTTTTCTTACTATTGAGTTTGAGAGTTATTATATGATCTGAATGCAAATTTTATAAATCAGTTAAGTGATATGCACATGGATTCTCCCGGCTTGTGGATATCCAGTTATTCCAGCGCTGTTTGTTGAGAAGACGGTCTTTTTGTATTGAATCACCTGTGTATCTTTATCCAAAATCAATTTTAACCATGTATGTGAAGTCTTTCTGGATCCGATATTCTAGTATGTTTAGAACTATTGTCTTTAGCTATGTGATGCCAGCCCACTGTCTTAATTGTTGTTTTTGTTTTTTCAAATATATTTTTATTGATTTCAGAGTAGAAGGGAGAGGGAAAGAGATAGAAAATCCATGATGAGAGAACCATGGATTGGATGCCTCCTACTGGGATTGAGCCCACAACCCCAAGTATGTGTTCAGCGTGGAATCAAACCTGAGACCTCCTGGTTCATACTCAACCACTGAGCCATGCCAGCCGAGTGATTATTGTAGTTTTATAATAAACTAGAGGCCTGGTGCATGAATTCGTGCACCAGTAGGGTCCCTCGGCCTGGCCTGTAGTATTGGGCTGAAACTGGCTCTCTGACATCCCCCAAGAGTCCTGGATTGTAAGAAGGTGCAGGCCAGGCAGAGGACCCCACTGGTGCACGATTGAGGCCAGGGATTGAGGCCAGGGAGGTTGGCCAGCTGTAGAGGAACCACAGGAGGGCTCCAGGGCATGTCCAGCCCATCTTGCTCAGTCCCATCCGCTGAACCACAGCAGCAACCTAACCTACCAGTTGGAGTGTCTGTCCCTTGGTGGTCAGTGCACATCAATAGTGACTGTTCTACCAGTCGACTGTCTGCCCCCTGGTGGTCATAGTGAGCGGTTGAGTGGCCTTAGTATATCATTAGCATATTACACTTTGATTGGTTGAATAAACGACCAAACGCTTAGCATATTAGTTTTTTATTATATAGGATGTTGAAATAAGATAGTATAAGTCCTCTAACTTTTTTCTTCCAAAGTTATTTGTCTATTCTAAGTCCTTCACCTTTCCATATGAATTTGAGAATCATTTTTAAGAATGTAAAGGGGCCGAAACCAGTTTGGCTCAGTGGATAGAGCATTGGTCTGTGGACTGAAAGGTCCCAGGTTCGATTCTGGTCAAGGGCATGTACATTGGTTGCAGGCACATCCCCAGTAGTGGGCGTGCAGGAGGCAGCTGGTCGATGTTTCTCTCTCATTGATGTTTCTAACTATCCTTTTCCCTTCCTCTCTGTAAAAAATCAATAAAATATATTTTTTAAAAAAGAAAAAAGGAATGTAAAGGGTTCTGTGACCTAAGTGTTTGAGAATTGCTGCTTTATCTCCTGTGTGCATCATTTTTCTCATTTTAAAATGAGAGGAAGGGATAACTATCTCTATAAGATTATGAAGATTAAATTAATTTATGGAAAGTCCTTAAAATAATTCTTGGTTCATTGTATACACCTGGTAAATGTTAATTATTATGACTGTTTTCAGGTAAGATGTTTGAGTCAATAGTTAGATGACCTGACTTGGGTTATATGTCATCCCTGAACTAATCACACAGACAGGTTGATATCTAATTGGTTTAATCCATCATGGTCCACCTTTAAAGTGGAGTGTATACCAGTCCTCAGACTATATGCCTGAGAAAAGTGGGGCTACAGGGGAAGGGGAAATGGATATTAGAGCTGCAACTTATCAATGTCCACCATATTTATATGGCCTTTAAATTCTTACCAGACATGCATTTTTATATGTAACACACACATTCATACATATTTGCATACATGTATGAGTATGTATATACACATTGTATATGTGATGTATAAGCAGGTTTACAGTAGTTTTAAGGGAAATAATGTAATAAATAATAATGCAAGAATTAGCAGTGTTTCACATATTCATAACTGTAAACCTACTTTTGTCCACCCTATATTTGGTGGTGAGAATTGATAACAGATTCCTAAAGGGAAAGTAATTACTCTTTTTTCATTTGATTTCAGTTAATAATGGGACTTGGTACCCAGGGGGCAGAGAAGAAGAGTGCAGCATCTATTGCCTGCTTCTTGGCTGCTAATGGTGCTGACCTTAGCATTCGAAATAAGAAGGGTCAGTCACCACTTGATCTCTGTCCCGATCCAAGTCTCTGCAAAGCACTGGCAAAATGTCATAAAGAAAAAGTCAGGTTTGTATTATATATTATCATAAAACTTGATATTTTATACATAAGGTATTATGTAGTTTCATAACAGACTACTTGAAAATGCCTTTGTCTTTGCTCTTCCTCTTCTTTTTCCCTTTATTTTTTTTTATTAAATTTATTGGGTGACATTGGATAAGAAAATTATGTAGTGACATATTTTCCATGTGCCCTTGTCAGTTGTGAACTTTATAGATGCTTCATTTCTTCCTGTTTTTAATTAGGATAACTAACATGGACTCTAGTTTTTTTTTTTTTAATTACTACTATTTTTTAATTTTATTTATTTTCTTATTCCTATACCTTTCTCAGCTGGTTCTACATAAGCAAAACAAGTTCTGAGTAAAACTGTGCTTATGCAAAAAATTTTAAGTAGTTTTTTTTATTTCTTTGTTAGAAGATTTGGATCCACCCTTTTCCAATGTGTAAGAACTTGTTCACTTGGTATTTCAAATAGTAGTACAAATAGGTGAAGATGCAGAGATGTATATAAATAGAATATATAGTATACAGTGTTTCATACACAGATGCTTAATTTTTTAACAACTGAAGCTATTTATGTATATATTAATGATGCTCTAGATGTTTTTAAAAACATTTTAACTATTGGATTTGTAATATAAATATTCTGATACACTTGACTTGAAATATTTTCTTTTATTAGTGGTCAAGTGGGTTCTCGAAGTCCTTCAATGATTAGTAATGATTCTGAAACCTTAGAGGAGTGTATGGTGTGCTCAGATATGAAGAGAGATACTCTTTTTGGCCCATGTGGACATGTTGCTACCTGTTCTTTATGTTCTCCACGAGTCAAGAAATGCCTCATCTGTAAAGAACAAGTTCAATCTAGGACAAAGGTAATATGTTTTTAATATGGTATTTTATAATTTTATGAAGATCTTTGAAACTACAATTAATGATAAAGTTATAAGATGCCTTGTGTCTATTTAATTATGTTCTGTTTTAAATATAGGAATGTACAATTTATATATTTATTGAGACCATTTATGAGATTCCCTCTTTCTATGTAAACTATAGTCATTAAAAATGATGTATTTTGCTTTCAGAGCACCTTATAACCTAAAGATATATTTGAATCCATTTTGTTTTGTAGTTACTTATAAATTGCCCCCTTTCTGAGTACATGGCACTGTGTTGGTATTTTATATGCATTATCTGCCAAATTTGATTAATATATAAATATGGAGTATTCTACTTGGCACTGATAACTTTAGTTAGCTGCTTACAAAGTAACAGTTTGGGAAAGAATCTAAAAGAATAAAAACCCAAGCCATTCTCTTGTTTTTAGATTGGTCTGTGTATTCTGCTTTTGTGCTTGAGACTTTATATTATATTAAGCCCTATTCCAACAAACCTTTATTGTCTTGTAGTCAGGATATAGACGTATATGATAATTTTCTGCTAAAAATTAATAATCCCTTGACAAACTGTGACTAAGTGAGCTGCTCTGCCATATCGGCTGTTGTAGGTGCTTTAAGACATGTATAGTGAGTTCAGAGCCCCAGCTTGTCAAAAGCAGTCTCAGATGTGGAATAGTCTTGTGGTCTTCACAGTTGGAAAAACTGATGCTCTGGGAAGTACACAAACAGTTGAATGATAATGCAGTTCGCTTGATTCTTAAGTTCTTTCCACTGTGTTAAGATATACAGACAAAATGAAAAACAGCATCTATAAGGGGGCATTGATAGAACAGGGAGGCTGAGTGAGTGGAAGGAATATGCTGTCATTTTTTTTAGATCAGTTCTGAATTATAAGAATTAGTAATCTTTCAATTTGTTTTTAAACTATGAAATTTTCAAACCTGTAGAAAAGTACAAAAACTAACACATCTACCAAATAGATTTGCCAGATTGGTTGCAGAGCCTTTGAAGATAAAGAAATAGTGACCCCAAGTGGTTAAAAGATATACACATCTTCAAGGAAGATAAATTGTAAAACTAGTAATCGGAGGAAGGAACAATAAATAAGCTAAACTAAATAAATTTAGTTTCTTTAGCAATTAAAGAAATACAGATTTTAAAAAAATATATATTTTATTGATTTTGTACAGAGAGGAAGGGAGAGAGATAGAGAGTTAGAAACATCGATGAGAGAGAGTCATCGATCAGCTGCCTCTTGCACACCCCCTACTGGGGATATGCCCACAATCAAGGTACATGCCCTTGACCGGAATCGAACCCAGGTCCCTTCAGTCTCCAAGCCGACGCTCTATCCATTGAGCCAAACTGGTTTCGGCAAGAAATACAGATTTTAAAATTATAAGTTATTGCCAAAGGGACCCAGTTTGATTCCAGTCAAGGGCATGTACCTCAGTTGTATAGGAAGCATGGCCAGGGTTGTGCAGGAAGCAGCCAATTGCTGTGTTTTTCTCACATTGATATTTCTCTCTGTCTTTCCCTCTCTTCCACTGTCTCTAAAAAATAAATCAATGGAAGAAAATCCTTGGGTGAGGATTAACAAAAAAACCAACAAAACAAAACTATGAATTTATTAACCATTCTTATTAAATTAGTGAAAATAAATTTTTAAAAACTCCTTTCTAGGGAAGTGGGAAATGGGCACTCTCTTTTTTCCCCCAAATATATTTTATTTATTTCAGAGAGGAAGGGAAAGGGAGAGAGATAGAAGCATCATTGATGAGAGAGAATCATTAATCAGCTGCCTCTTGCATATCCCCTCCTGGAGATTGAGCCCGTAACCCAGGCATGTGCTCTGACAGGAAATTGACCTCCTGGTTCATAGGTCAGCGCTCAACTGTTGAGCCACACTGACCAGGCTGGTTACTCTCTTAACTGCTTGAAATTGAATAAATGCTTCACATTTTTGAGAGACCATCCTCACATTTTATATACACAAATCTTCATAATAAACATATTAATATACTAATTCCATCCCTGGGAACATAACCTGAGGAAAAATTCCAGAAGAGGAAAAAAGTTATGGTTATAAAGTGTTTTTTTATTTTGTTTTGTTTTGTCTTGTTTTTAATTAACGGGATTGGGTAAATAAATTTACTAGATTAAAGTCTTGATAAATAATTCAGATACCTACAGAGTTGCATTAGGAACCATTTAAAAAAACCCCAGCACATCATTATATACAGAGAGAGGTGAAGAGAATTCTCATGAATTCGTCCTGGATTCTATATTAGACATTGAATTAAACATGTTACACATAACATTTAATTTACTCTTTTTTTTTTTTTTTTTTTTTACATTATCACATTTTAATCTTTCATCAGTACTTAACACAGTAGATCTTAAAACATTATAGGAAAAATGCTCCTTATATACAAAGATTAGATTAATTAGAGCTTCATCTCCCTGCCATCATTGCTCTTAACACTTTTGTCTATGTCTACTATCTGCTAACATTTGGGATTTTTATTTCTTCTTTCATCCAGATTGTTTCTGCTTTTCTATTTAGATGGCTGACTGACATCTTTGAACCTTAGCCAAGGTCTAGTCCTAGCCAGTCTCCTTTATGAGAGAGGAAAACCTTTTTTGGGAGTTATTAAAATTAGTATACTTACCTCAGGCTATGGGCTCCTTAGCCATCCATGTCCAGGTTTTCCTATTTTTGCTCCCTACCCCACAATTCTGGAGGTGTACTGCTTAGTGTTTTTTTGTTTTGTTTTGTTTTTTTACATATCTTAACCATTGCGCCCCCTCCCCCTTAGTGTTTTTATTCATTTGGGGCTATATGGCTATACTGAAGGGAACTATTCCTTTCACTGTAATCAGACCTTGAATAGGACTGAAGCCTGGATGTATAATCCTAGAGATGGAAAAAATACCCTCATGTTAATACGATGAGCTGTAGAAGACTGAAATTTGCTTCTTTCAACTGTTTGAAATCAGTAGTTAAGTCAGAAATTTAGCAAATGTGCTAGATATCTACACCATTCATTCCTCACTTTTTATTAGTTACCAAGTTTTCTTAAATGTTCTCAAAACTCTTTGTATTCTACCCTATTGCTATATCATAGTTTAGTTATGCCCTCACTGGCTCAAGATATACTTGAATAAGGGTCACCTGACTCCTCTTCTTCTCTTCTAATTTACTCTTTACTACACTGTAAAGGATTGTTTTTTAGCCTTCAGATTTCTAAAAGGCAGCAGCTCAACAATGTTAGGCAATTTGTTAGTACTGGCTCTGAAATTTGAATCCAGAAATATAAATACAATTTCTTACTGCTTTCCCCTGTGACTACAACTGTATAAATCCTCTGCACATAAGGGTGTAAGTTGGAAAGTCCAGAGAGAGTGAGCATGCATGCAGTGTTTGGTTGCTTAGGTGAAGTTATAGATGAGTTGTAATATTAAATGAAAAAGATGTGGATAGACTGAATGTGTGTCATAATGGAGAACAAAAGGTGAGTGAGGGTAAAAGAAGCCAGAGCCAAAGTTAAGAAATAGTTACACACCTAAAACTCAGATTAACTGATGAAGTGGAGGTAAAATTGAGGGACATTATGGATAGATTGTGGAAGACTTTAGAAATCAGGGAGGAAGAATAGCACAAAACTTTTGGCTCCAGCCAGTGTTGGAGAATTGACCAAGTCCTGGGTGTGTTAGGTAGCATTTCTCAGATGTAGGTAAACAGAAAAATCCCCTTGGGTTTTAGCAGTCTGGCTAAATTTTTATTAGTATTGGAAATTAATATTAGTCATTTGTTCTCTTAATTTTTCTCCCAAAAGTAGTTTTTGAAAAAAAGAAAATATAAGTCTAGTCTGGTCTTCCTAACTTCAGAGGAAATTGAGTTTTTTTAATATCATTCTTTAGGACAGGTGGGAAGAATAAAGTGGAGATAGAACCTGCTAAACAGGGAAAATGAGAAACCAAGAGAGTAGAGGACAGAGAAGTATGTATTAAATTTTGCATGCCCAGAGTTTTTTCTTACAGAGGAAATACATTTGTATACAAAAGAAACTTAGAGTTTTATCTGTAGATGCTCACCCTTCTGCTGTGTTACTTCATTTTTGTAGATTGAAGAATGTGTGGTATGCTCAGACAAGAAAGCAGCTGTTCTTTTTCAACCGTGTGGACACATGTGTGCTTGTGAAAGTAAGTAGCTTATACAAAACTTCCTCAGCCTATAAAAATAGAAAATGAAACACATTTTTTGATAACTTATGAACAACAAAGTTGGTGGGCCGCTAGTACCTTCTGTTTCTTTCTTTTAACCAAAATGCCACCTATCTTCCTCCTTGCTCCTGAGCCTTAAAGAAGCCTATGCTTGGTTCCACTACGTCAAATTTTGATTTTATTTCTTTTAGCACAAAATGATCGCTTCTCACACGCAATAGAAATTTATTTCTAAAAATGAATGTTGAAACATTTTGTCTATCCCTTTCTCACGTATAAAATTAACACATCTTCATTTGTCTTCACCTTAATATTGCTTTTCTTGCATAATTTCCCCAATACCCACATCAATATTTGGGATAGTAATTTCTGGCCTTCTTAGCCATTTTTAATTTAACCTCTTTGTCAAGAGAACCTATAAAAATCTTTTCTTCATGAGGATAATATTAAAGTTTAAGAGATGTTTTAAACTTTGCCTTTATATATCCCCTTTGTTCTTTTCAAGTTCATACGCTTTTTCAGTATTAATATTATATCCCCTTTGCTTCTTACATTTGTCAACGAAGGATTTTAAACACATTTAATAAATTATACCTTAATTAAATGGGCCCAAAGTAAAAGCATGGTAACTCCTCTTAAAAAATAGATCACTCAATAGGTATTGAGTTTTAATATATCTAACATAATATACAAATTGCATGGTAAATAAATCTCAGTAGCCTAGATTTGCTTTAGCCTTTTTCATTCTGATATGCAGTTCATCAACTAAAGAAAGATTAAGTTTTTCTACTGTAGCATTTTGCTACAAGTAATTGTTTCTGTTTACCAAAGACTGGTATGATGCCTATGATCAGTGGTCAGAGTGCATGTAGAAAGATAATTCTGCTTATAAAGCTCAAGCTATTTAAGTTTTCATAGTGCAGAAGTTAGCAAATTTTTTTCTGCAAAAGGTTAAATGATAAATATTTTTGATTTGTGGGCTATGTTTCTCTTTTCAACCACCCAACTCTGCCATTTTATTGCCAAAGCAGCCATAGACTATTTTTAATGAATGGGATGGACTATTTTCCATTAAAACTTTATTTACAGCTCTTACTGGTTTGGCTCAGTGGATAGAGCGTTGGCCTGCGGACTGAAGGGTCCCAGGTTTGATTCTGGTCAAGGGCATGTACCTTGGCTGCCAGCACATCCCCAGTAGGGGGTGTGCAGGAGATGCAGGAGACAGCTGATCGATGTTTCTAACTCTATCCCTCTCCCTTCTTCTCTGTAAAAAATCAATAAAATATATTTAAAAAACAAACAAACTTTTATTTACAAAAATAGTTTACTGGTTGGATTTGGCCTGCAGGATGTGTTTTATAAGAATGAGCAGAAAAAGGCAACCCTTTTCTTATTCATTTTCTCTTTTTGTAAGAATGTCCTGTTGTTATTTTCCAGACTGTGCTAATCTAATGAAAAAGTGTGTGCAGTGTCGGGCAGTGGTTGAACGAAGAGTGCCTTTTATTATGTGTTGTGGAGGTAAAAGTTCAGAAGATGCTACTGATGATATCTGTAAGTGGATTTCTTACCCATTATCCATCTTGTTGGGACTTCCCTGAACATATCTTCTCATGTATAGAACACTGTGGTCTTGTAAAATGTAAGGTCTATGACTCAAATTTACAGAGGAACAGGTAGGGCTTTGTTCTTGTTACATTACTAGAAACCTGAAAATTTTCTAGCTTGTGATATGATTATAGAACTTTAAACATTAGCCTTTTAAGATGCTTTCAATGTAATAGAAAGAGTATTATTGTATGCTTGCTTAAAGAAAATTTGCTGTCTATTTTAAAGATGAAGTTTAGTGTATCTTGGGGGATCATCATATTACAAATTATTTTTTTTAGTTTACTAAAGTATTAGCCTCATCCTATATCTAGCAGGTTTACCCAGAGTATTTGAGTATTTTATGGAATAATAATAATTTGGACAGAATAACTGTAGATAAACTGAAGTATATTCTAGTGAACAAGTGGAAAGATGAAAATTGAAAAGTAAATTATTTATCTTTAATGTTTTCAATAGTATGGCTAAAATGTTTTTCATCTTTGCATTACCATAAGCTAGATGGTATCTTTGATTTCTTTGGTCCGTGTACAGATGAGGAAAACATTAGTGTAACTACTACTGTCCAGGACTTTTGTCTTTATCACCAGTAAAGCAGAATATCGATATAATCCCAGGAATAGATTAACTAGAGTTAAAGACCAAGAATCTAGAGAGCAGGAAAAATGAAATAAAAAATTTCCCTCCTTTTAGTAGGCCATTGATCATGGCCTTTCTTTCATGGAGTTCCTCATCTCAGATCACTAACAATAAGTAGAGTTGGGAATAAAGGAAAGATAGCTTGCTGCTAGGATTATCTAAAATAATTGCTTGTCTTCTTGGGTTCATACAGTGCAGGAATAGGGAAAGTAAGTATAAAATGTAATTGTGAACTTATCAAAGAAAGCAAGCAGAGCCTTGGAAAACCTGAAAGTCTGGGTTAGCTGTGTTAAATAAAATGTGAAATTGATATATAAACCTATTTCTTTTTGAAGATTATAAGTGAGGGAGTATAACATGAATATCACTACTGTATCTATTGTCCACATGTAAAGAGGATTCTAATAATAATCTTGTGTTTTTAATAAAACAGTAATGATTTTAGAAATGAAAAATCATTACTGTGTCAAAACAGTCATAACATTAGATTTTTTATCTCTATTATAGCAAGTGGAAATATCCCAGTGTTACAAAAGGACAAAGATAATACGAATGTCAACGCAGATGTGCAGAAATTGCAGCAGCAGTTGCAGGACATTAAGGAGCAGGTAATAAGGCTTTCTGCATGGTAAAAATGATCCTGATAGTGGCATTTCATATTTTTCTATAAAACCAGTAGTGTTTCCTCTAATAGGCATGGTTCATATTAATGTATCACTTGTACTATTTGAATATTTGCAGCAGGTAAAACCTGATTGAAAAGTTTCCAAAATAGGAAACACACAAATGACCATAAACATGAAAAAATGCTAACCCACGTTATTAAGAAATGAAAATTAAAACCACTATGAGGTACCTTTTGCTATTTCTCAGACTGTGGGAAAAACTTAGTGTTAAAAACTGTCAGAGTGTTTAGGCAGAATATGTAGCAGCCATAACTCACAATGCTGGCAGGAATATCATTTAGTAAAAACATGGAGAAATTTGTCATTTATCTAATAAAACTAAACAAAATATGTTTGAGGATGCAAACTTGGATAATCATTCAGATGGTGTTTAAAATCATGGGAATTGGTTTTCTTGTCTGGGATGTCTGAGAGGAGGCATAAAAGAAGTTTCTAGAGGAGTGTTACTCCACTTCTTGCTTTAACTATCAATTACATGCATTTTATGAGTTTGTGAACTTGCATTAAACTGTTCAGTTATGCCCGGCCAGCATGTCTCAGTGGTTAAGCATTGACTTATGAACCGGGAAGTCACCGTTCGATTCCCAGTCAAGACACATTCCTGGGTTGTGGGCTTGGTCCCTGGTGTGGGCATGTAGGAGGCAGTCCATCAATGATTCTCTTATCATTGATGTTTCTATCTCTCTTCTTTCCTTTCTGAAATCAATAAAAATATAATTAAAAAAAAAACAAAACAAAAACTGTACACATAGGAGTTGTACGCATTTATGTATAGATGGTATACTTCCAAAATAAACACACACACACACACACACACACACACACACACACACACACACTCACACACATCATAATGAGAAGCAAGGGAAAGATAAAGGTAAAACTCAGAATAGTTATCTGAGGAGTAGATGGAAAGGATTGGGGAAGATGTGTAGAAGGGCTTAAAAATAAAAGATAGTGTTTCATGTTTTAAACTGCATGGTGGTCATATTCTTTATATTTTACTAGAGCTCCGATGCATGAAATTCGTGCAAGAGTAGGCCTTCGCAGCCCTGGCTGTCTCTGCCCTTGCAGCCCCTGCTTCTTCCGGAAGGTAGTCTGGAAGGACAGTCGTTCTGTTCAGCCATTGGGTCAATTTGCATATTATGTTTTTTTTTTATTATAGATACATACAAACAGAAATGCTCTTATATCTACTCAGTATTTAATAAAAGCAAAAATAAAATAAAAAAATAGCTAAAACTTGTAAGCATAGGTAAGAAAGTTTTTTTCCTCCCCAACCATACTATTTGACTCAATAATTACATCTGATTTAATTCAAAGGATTGAGCTGTTATTTTATTTTATTTTATTTTTATTTTATTGATTTTTTACAGAGAGGAAGGGAGAGAGATAGAGAGCTAGAAATGTCGATGAGAGAAAAACATCGACCAACTGCCTCCTACACACCCCCTACCGGGGATGTGCCCGCAACCAATGTACATGCCCTTGGCCAGAATCTAACCTGGGACCCTTCTACCACTTAGCCAAACTGGCTTCATCTGAGCTGTTATTTCTTAAGATCCGTGGGTCGGCAAACTGTGGCTCACGAGCCACATGCGGCTTTTTGGCCCCTTGAGTGTGGCTTTTCCACAAAATACCACGGCCTGGACGAGTCTATTTTGAATGGCGTTAAAAAGAAATTTGGCTCTCTTGCCAAAACCGGTTTGGCTCAGTGGATAGAGCGTCGGCCTGCGGACTGAAGGGTCTCGGGTTCGATTCCCGTCAAGGGCATGTGCCTTGGTTGCGGGCCCATCCCCAGTCAGGGTGTGCAGGAGGCAGCTGATCGATGTTTCTCTCTCATCGATGTTTCTAACTCTCTATCCCTCTCCCTTCCTCTCTGTAAAAAATCAATAAAGTATATTAAAAAAAAAAAAAGTTCTAAGTAACAGAAGATTATTTGACTAAAACAATAAAAGAAAATGATGTTACAGAGTTGTCACATGTTACACTTTCAAAATATAAAATGTCTCAGCATTTATTATTTTATTTATTATCTCCCATCTAGACAATGTGCCCAGTGTGTTTGGATCGTCTAAAGAATATGATTTTCCTCTGTGGCCATGGAACGTGCCAACTCTGTGGAGACCGAATGAGTGAATGTCCAATCTGTCGCAAGGCTATTGAACGAAGGATTCTTTTGTATTAACAAGAAACTCAGTGTGTTTTGTTAGCTAAGGTATTTGGTCATGAGATCTTAGTAAGCCTTTAAACTAGTTGGAGGTTCTAATGAATTAATTTTTAATATTATAGTTTCTTTACTAGAGTATAATTAAACTGTAAATGTACCAGAACAAAATAACTCTACAAAACAGTGTTTGAAGTCGTGTGTTTTTTGTTTTGTTTTGTTTTATGTTTTTTTAAAGTTTGAAACATCAAATTCATGTACTTAATAGATAATTTACTTTTGGCTGAGGAGAAAACCTATGAAGGAGGAAAAATCCTTTAAAGATCTTCTTTATATATATCTGTGAGACCTCCGAAAATACATTTTGTTATTACTTGCTATCCTTTAGTTTATCATGATTTGATACAGTGAGTTGACACAGGTACTCAGAAAAGTTATGCATCAAATGAAAGGGGCAAGTCAAACTATTCTGTCACATATGGGGAATATTAAAGAGAATTCTTTTTAAGTAACATAAAGTTATCCAAATGATTGTTTCTGAATTCTTAGAGTAAATGAAAGCATAGAATGAAAGAATAATGGCTTTGCATTTAGCTTATTTTCTAAATTTAAAAGGGGAAGGAAACTTGAATCTAGTTGCCAGTGTTAAAATGACGGGTAGACATGAAAAGGAAAAATTACAGTGGGGAACTGAAGGGAGGAAAATTATTCAGTCAGAGAGTATCTGTTAACTGCTGTTAACGATTCTTATTCTTATGTTCATTATACACTGTTCTGTTCAGTAAGCCTTTAAAAAATGCCTGTGAAAAGTATACCTCAGTTTTCCTTGTGGTTACTTATCCAGGTTTGATCTGTCCAGTGAAACAATAGTACCCTGATTAGTCTCTGAAGTTTGGTTCAGCCTTTCTGATATACTCAATAGCAATACCCTAGTGACCTGAGAAGGATAATGCATTGCCCAAAGGTAGCAGTCCTTTCTTCTCCATGTCTGTTAATTCTGACAGTGATACTGGTTCTAGGCCTTGCTTCCCCATTCTCTCTCAGTGAGGCTTCCTATAAAGAAAATAGTCTCTCTTTATGCCTATTGACAAGGACATTATTTAAACTACCAACAATACCCAAGACATAGTAAATAACCTAAAAATAAATACTTACTTTACAAAGAATAACTAGGACCAGAAATGTGTCTGGTTACCCATAAATTTTTTAACTTAAACTTTGACTTTAGAGCTTCTAATCATTTTCTCTCCTTTGAATGAGAAATCTTATCTAGGATGGGTATACACATAAATAAGAGTTTTGGGGTTCATTGCTGCTAGATTATTAAGATACCAGCTGTTTACAATAGTGTCTACTAAACATTATGTGTAAGCTTACTCCTAAGTGTAGTTATCTTTTTGGTAGTCTCCCCCCCCCCCCCCCCCTTTGAATCTGATTCTTAGGTCTTTTTTTTTTTTTCTGCTACAACAACTAACCTTGAAAGTATAAAGTCTCTAGCCTTTATAGCATCATGTTTTTGACTATTTAATGGCTTGTGCCATTGCAAATGCTGGAGAAAACAATGGTGAGCTTTGCTGGCTGATTTTATAGTCTTGGAAATTCCATATCTGTGTTTAGCTGAGTAACATCATTCAGAATGATTAAATTTTTATAAATTTACATTTGAAAATTTATTTATTCTACTCAGTTATCTAATAAAGGGCCACTGAGACTATTTTCAAGCCATATTTTGAAGTTATAAAATGATAAAGCATCTGACTGATAATGTTCACCTAAAGAGACATACTCTGCTCTTTTAGATTTGAAGACCGTGTAAGTCAGGATTTTCCTTTTCTTCCTTGCCCGGGGCCACCCATCTCTTTCCCAGTAGATCTGCTGGTAAGAGAGAACACCTGGCTGATGCATGCATAGTTTGGCCAACTGGAGGATTTTTTGGTCTAGAGCTTTACTTAAATCCTTTTTATTTGTCTTCTGAGCTGCAGTGCTAAAACTTATATTCCTGAAAGGCAATTTTATCTTCCAGATTTGTTTATTCCCACCATATTAAAAATATAACAACAAACTATTACAAAAGGGAATCATTATAATTATAGTGCTATGCACTTGTGATTTTCTGTATTTGTACCACTTTAAAATTTACTTAACAAATAGAAAGTGTTTCTTTATCACATTTTCAGCCACCGGAAAATTTTTTTAATTTATTTGGGGATCGTGAAAGAGAACAGGAATTTACGTGACTTTCCTCTAACTGTGACACTGCTCCCTCTTATTACAGATGTTCTTAGCAGTGCTTTCCCAGTTAGGTGTGTTTCCTTCTCATTATCATCTCTTCATCTTATGCCTCAAACAGCTTTTACTTTTCCTGGAATCATTTAAAAAAACAAAACAAAACTAATATGCATTCATTAAAAAATATATTGGGCTTCAGGGGTTAGATATACAACATTGAAAAAAATGGTCAGCACCTTAGCACATAAAGAATTTATCACACAGTCATATATTTGAAGTAATCTATAGACAAAGAGGGAACCAAATGTATTGATAGCATTTCCTAATGTTTTATAAGAGTTATCAAGTGGCATTGGATTTTCTCTACCCCCTTTATTCTTCTAAGATTGTCAGCTTTGATACCCAAAACATACAACTTAGCAGATGGTGGTGCTATTCCAATTGTGTACTTCACATAATTTAACATTGTTACTGCTTCTACTATATTCATATTTAATTTTGTTGGGAGCAAGATCATTTTTCAAGAAAAGATCATTTTGTGTTAGTATAGGAATATTATTTTAGACAAGTGTTTAGTTTAGTTGGCTAAATGATGCTTGGTTATTAATTTTAAACATTGCAAATTGGCCAGCTAGCTACTGAGGTATAAAATTAATTGATAATGTTGAATTCTTAAATTTATATATTTGATGGCTTTAGCCTATAAGACTATTCTAGCATATTGAAATGCATGTTGCTTAAGATTTATCCAATTCAAATTTCAAAGCTTGCTTCATTTTTACATGATAGAAATATACTCTCTAATCTGTGTTGCCCCATTGTCGTTTTTGTTTATTATCAAGTTTGGACCCTTTTGGACTAGGAATTAGTTAAATTAATGAACTAAGAGATTTGGTGATGGGGTAGAATAGGGAAGACAGTAGGGTTTGCCAAAGTAAAAAAAAAAAAAAAAAAAAAAAAAAAAAAAAGTCAAGTGTTTGAATTAAAGAGAAAAGGGGATCATGTAGATTTTATTAAAGCAGTAAGTGGAGAGAGTGCATTTAATTGAATAATAGAAAGGGCCTTTCAACCAGTTTCCAGTATAGTTTAATTGACAATTGCTTTGGAAATTATAGGCTTTGATACAGCTTGCTTAAAAAAAAATGCAAAAGGAAAAGCACTTACCTTCTCGGAATGTCTAAAGTATTTTATAGTAATAATTTGTGTAAAAATTGAACTTTGGAATCGAAGTTTTTGCATTTTTTTATGGTAAAACAACATGAAATTTACCATCTTAACCATTTTCTAGTGTACAGTTCACTAGTGTAAAGTAAATTCAGATTGTTGTGAAACAATGACATCTTGAAAAAGTGACACTTGAATATCCATTAAAACACAAACTCCTTCTCCTCCCCCAACTGGAGTAGAATTTTGATTAAATATAAAAAGAAATGCCTGAATTATCGTAATTGTTAGTGTTTGCAAGATCTAAAGTCTTGGTAAACATCAAGTTTCTAAAATTTGGGGGATGACAGAACTTCTTCCCCCTCCCCTACAATTATCAACAGTCCTAATTGAGTAGGTTTTAAAAGTCTGTTAATTGGAAGGATATGTGAATTCATTTTGAACCAGAAGAAAGAAACACATTTTAAACATTAAAATTAGTTAAGCTTTGAACTTGTACTAAATTGGGAAGGTAAAAGATTTTCACAATTATGTGTGCCTTGTTGAAAATGTAAGTTGTCTTTAAGTCTACATGTAATTGTTTCAAAAATTTTTTTCTTCTCAAAAAGCAATTTTATTTGCTTGATTATTATGATAGGAATGCTTACTGATATTACTTAGTAGTCATATATAGTCTTGGAACTTTAACATATATATATAAAACTATAATAGTATTAGTAATTACAATTGTACTTCTTTAAAACATTAAATTTGAGGAAAAACTATTCGATGCCGTCTCATGTGTACATTGCTTTGCTACAGTGAGGGGGACTCTTTAGATTGAACCTCAGTTTACTGATAAATGGTTAACAGTGGGTGAAATGAGCATTAAAATATGAACTAGATGATGAGTTAAAATTGTAAGTTGCTACATTAGCATTTTCTATCTCCTTTTCTGTCAGAATATTATTTTTTTCCAGCATTTATCCGTATTTGTGACTAAGGAGGAGATGGAAACCCGAGGTTAAAATTGAAATTTTTAGTTGAGGATTTAAGGAGCAGGTACAGGAAAGGTGACTTGTCACGTCAATTTGGCACTTAATTTCATAACCACAAGTTGAATTCACACCTGGCATAAAATGTGTAAGAAAGATAATAGTGCCGATAGCTTACTTTTCCTTACAGTCTGTTTGATTTTGTTTAATAAACATGACTTCTTTCCTCCAAAAAGCAAAACTAGTCTTATAATTTTCTATAAAGTAAATAATGTGCCATTTTGGCCGATATCTATAATGTTAGGAAGCTATTGAAAGTTCTGACTCAGGGCTTTTTAACAGTGGAAGCAATTGGTAATTATATTTTGGAAAATTCATCTACACAACTCTTCAGTGCCTTGAAAGAATTATTAACTTGGCAACACTACTAAAACTTTATAGAAGGCATAGTGTGCGTGTCTTATCCTACACATGTTTATAGGTTGTATTGCTTAAACTTGTGTAATAGCAATACTGTGTGTGTGCTAGGTTTGGGTAATTCTTTAAAGGAATTCTTTTAGATTTGCACTTAATAGTTGTTTTTTTTGTTTTGTTTTTTAACTGATTGTTTATGGCCACGACACTGTTACCAGAAGAGTAATTCTATGTTAAGTC